AAAGGGAAAAAAACGGGTAAAAAAAAACTTTAAAAAAAAAAAAACTTTTTTTACCCAAAAGGTTAAAAAAGTTATTGAAGCCACGAGGGGATTCGAACCCTGGACCAACAGTTTTGGAGACTGCTACGCTACCACTGCGCTATGGCTTCTTGGATGAGTTTATTAAAAAATAACAAATATCGTATACTGAATTTTCCCACTTTCTTGTAAGAATGCTCCTTACCAAGTTACAAGAGTACAATATAGATTAGTATAAAGTATACATAAAAGGTAGTCAGGAATGGATGACTATCATCTTAAGACCTTTTAGCGTAACTGTTAATACTTAGTACTTTACATTCTTGTGAGTTCTATCAAGTAGATACCAATGGAACCAAAGAATATTAAACCAAATCAACAACCCAGTATTGGGCTCATTTATTGCTATATTGTTTGACTTCATATGGTATTCGAGAAATAAGAAAAATCACGATAAATTGATAATGGAACTGAACTGGCTAGCTGTCACCTACAAGATGAATATAGCTAAAAGAGCAGAATGGGAAAAAACATTCGGCCTAATGTCCAAACACTGGAGACTCCACCACAGTACCACTATAGACAAGGTAAAAAACCAATGTATATCCTCGATCAAATTTCAAATCAAAATGTTCACTAAGACTTGGTGCAAAAATAACAACCTAATACAAATTCTAATACCAGACCATTTTATGGCCCTTTTTAATGTACATAAATAAACTTTAGATCCAACTCCTACATGTTAGGGGTCTGGGCATAAGGGTATCAATTGGTACGCCTTTAACAAAAAAAAAATAAGACCTTCTGGTTTCTTTCACTTTCATTACATACTACTACTCTAAAATTCCTATTATAGAAATCCTGAACCACATTTTCACTAAAATATTTAAAATATTATATATTATAAATAGATGCAAAGATTTAAATGAATGAATAATAATAATATATAAATATATTTTATATTCATTTTTTAAAAATAATCAATGAGAGTAAATTCAAAGTGCAACAGTGGCGTAGAAATACAACAGTATGGAAATATATATATATATATTTGTTTCACTTTAATTTTTTTTATTTGTTTTTTAATAATTGTTGTTGAGTGTATTCCCATACTAAAATGGAAGCACTAACATGAACATTTAGAGATCTTATTTGACCAAGTTGTGGAATTTCAATACATTGGTCAACAATCTTTAGATATTCAGCAGGGATACCATGTTGCTCCTGACCCAAAATTAGTAAAGATTTTTCTGGGAATTTAAAAGATGCTAGATTTTGACTTTGTGAAGTTTGTTCAACACCTAGAATTGTGTAGCCTTGTTTCTTTTTTAGTTCTACAAAAGAAAGCATATTTTGTCTGGTAACTTCAATAACAGGTATAAGTTTTTCAGCAGACACCGAGACTCTTTGGAACTGTGGATCAGATAATAACTTTAGATTAGGAATTGCAACTTGTTCTATATTGAAAATTTCACAAGTTCTAATAAGACCAGCTAAATTTGGAGTATTTTCAATTAAAGAACCAACAACAATCATTGATTGTCTCTTACCACCATTTTGAGAATTCTTTTGTTGTTGGTGTTGTTGCTCCAATATTTGATTTTGTTCATCCAATTTATTAATCCATTGCCATGGTGTAATTCTTCTCTGAAAATCTAGTAACGTTTCCTCATTTTCAGTTGTTAATAGTGGTGGTTGTTGATGTAAATCAGAATTCTGATTTGTTGATTGATTTTGTTGGAAATTGGATTGGAAATCTTTAATTAATCTTTTTGAAATTTCTAATAGTGACATTGGAATAATAGATTCGTCAATATTAAGATTAAACTCATCTTGATCATCTTGTTGAGTTGTATTTTGTTCTTCATCCTCTTCTAAAGTAGAAACGGTGTTTGAAGCTGATGATAATATATTCATACTGAATATCTTTTTATGAGGGTCATCATTTGGAATAAATAATGTTTGTTTCTCTCTTAATCTCTTTTGAATTTTGTTATTTTCCAAATATAGATAGATTGACTGTAACAAACTATTATTATTAAATTCATCCAAAATTGAATATTCTGTAAGAAAGTGTTAATATAATAGTTTTTTGTTTTTTTTTAAAAAAGGAGAAACATACTTTTTGAAAGAATTGCATAGATTGATAACTGAGCAGTGGTTCTAACAGCGTGATGGAAATCAGTAGTCCATGGTATTATTTTGTTGAATAATTGTTGAATTAGTAAATGGTATAGTTTATCAGTAGAATGATTATTTAACAGATATTGTAGATAGTTGGCTGTTATTATTATTAATGATGCTGATATTTGATAATCTATATTAAATTGCTCCATTCTTTTTACTAATTGTTGGTCCTCTATTATAGATTGAGCAGTAGGTGCTTTGAGAAGTACATTAATTATAAATAATTGTATTAGATATCTGACGTTACCATGATTCTTCTGGTCTAAAGATTTCCACATTTTCTCAGTAGTCTCTAGATAAAACTGTCTGTTCTTCTCTGTAAACTGAATATTGTACAATAATGAGCAACAGGTTCTCCACAATTTACATTTCATCTTATTGGTACGAGAGTGCTGTGAATATTCTCTCTTTGAGAGCTCTGGATCCTCTTGCGACATTTTTAACATTTCCAATAGTAGGTTTTCAATGAATGGTCCATTACTATCAGAATTCTTGATAGTTTGTTGTTGAAGATTTAAATGTTCATTTTTTAAATCAGCAACAAATAGTCTGATAATATATCCATGACTATTATATATAGTATTATTATCATCAGTAGTAGTAGTGGTAGTTGATATCTGATTTGCAGATCTATCTTCATTAGTCAGTAGACATAAATCGATAATCTCTTTTTTAAAGGTGAATAGAGTATCAGGATTCATTGACCAAATGTGACAACAATGGCTAAGTAATGTAGCTGATATTTTTACGGATTCACCAAGATCACTTAAAACCCTCTTCAAATATTCCTTAATGAGTGGAATGGCAGAAGGTAATCTAAAGAATTCCTTGTTAAATAATAAATTAACAAAAGAACTAATTAGAGTATGTGGTTTCTTTTTACTATCTGAAAATGATAAATAACATTGTTTAAATACCATAGATAGTGTTTCATTGTCTAGTACTGGTGTTGTAGTAGAAGTAACAACTAATTTCATACAGTTGAATATAGGGGTAAGTGACTTTTCACCAGTGATATTATCAGTTGTCTCTAAACATTGTTGTAAAATTTCTGTTAATGTATTATTATCAATTGGATTGCTATTATTATTACTAATTATAGATTCAATCAATAACCATTTATATTGAATGAATTTTGGTAAAATGACAGATGTTGTACTATTAAATTGATATTTTGCTTGTGTTGATAAAATTATTGAGAATTTTAAGTAGATTAATTCCAAAAGTGTTTGCTTGTGTGATAGTTGGTAAAGACATTGTAATATTATTGCTTGTTGTTTAATATTTAATCCTGTTGTTACTGATTGTTGTAGTGTATCTAATAAATGAATAGTGAAATCTTTTAATAGGTGATCATTAGTTACATGTTGGAGTAGTTGAATAATTAATTCAATAGATCTATAATCTTGTGTGAAATTTTCAATTTCCTCATTGGTGCTAATGATATCAATAGTGTAATTTGCAGAATTTATAATAGTAGATTTTAAATATTCTACTATTTTGACTCCATTTAAAACCTGTTCATAATATTCAGCTGTAGGAATATTCTTAGAGTGCAATTTAAATTCTTTTACCACATGACATTGTAGTAATAGTTGTGATTGTAAACTATTCAGAGGATCATTATTCTTTAGTAACAGTGTAGATACTTCATCTTCTGAGAGGAATAGTAAAATTCTAGAAATGCATTCATAGAATTCACTGTCAATTCCTTTTTCAAAAGTGAGATTATTACCAACCAGATATTCTGAAAGTCTATTGTAAAATGATGACTTTACAGGTTGTAACCATTCATTAATCTCTATGAAATGATCTTGTATCCATTGTACAGGAAATATTGATAGCAATTTACTAATAAGTACAAACCATTGATCTGCTCCAAATTTAGTATCTAATCTGATTTTTAACATCAATTGTAAAACAATTAATGAAATTTCAGTATTTAGTGTTGAACCAGCTCTTGGGTGACTGTGTAATATCTGTTTAAATATTTCAAAGAGTTTTTGTTCAGATTTTATCTGATACTCTTTTGAGCATGATAAACAGATGTTTAATAACAACTTTAAACATCTCTGTTCTTTGATTTGGTCTTGATTAGATAGTAGCATGTGAATATCCATCATAAACTGATCTAATCTCTTTTGGTCACTACTAAAGGTTTTTATAATATTCAGGAAAAAACCATTTAAGACATCCCAATTCAGTAACTGTTGTCTCTCAATGTCTTGTACAATTTCTAATGAGTCCATACTCTTTAAGAGAGGTAACATGAATTGATGAAATGGAATTGTGAGAATTTCTTTAGAGAGGTCAAGATTTAATAGACAATCTCTTATTACTCTTCTACGTATTAAAACATTTACATGTTGAAAACCTCTTTGGTAGAGGATACTAATCCAAAAGAATCTAGAAGATGGCTTATTAATTTTATCTACATTTAGTGATTGACCTGACAACTGTAGATTATTTAATTGTAACCAAACTGGAAGGAAGAGATGTGATTTTGTTTCGTCGAATGCTTCAAACAATGATAAAAACAGTGACCATTGTTTTTGTTCCCATTGTTCTGGAAATAGTGATTTCCATGATTTATCAGTTAAATTGCCCAATAGTACTATAATTTGTTTCAATAAGTAAATTCCCTGTTTTCTTGGTAGTGAGTCTTTATCTATGAGAGATCTATATAGAATTTGCCAAAATTCATCTCTTTCCAATATATTACTAGTTGTCTTACTACTACTATTATTTGATATTAAATAGAAATAACATGGACTAAAATAAAATAACAATTTTAACTTATCCAAGAAATCAGCAGGACCTTTAATCTTTAACCATAATAATTCTAACCATTCACTTAGATTGGTGATAGTGGATTGATTCATTGTAGAATTTAGAATTCTTATCAATAGATTAAAGGATTGTTGTCTCTGATATTGATTTGTTT